AGACTTGTTGGCAACACTCGCCTGTCCCCTTCTTCTTCTTCATAGAGGGCGAACTGCAACGTCGTTTGCAAAGTGCTTGGATCTCTTGGAGAATGAACCTTTAGCTGACCTTGCCACAACGACGAAGAGGAAATCAAACATGTACTTCAATAGTGTGGTCAAGCGCTAACACAAAAGCAAAAACCATATGACATCGCCTAAAATGGATAAACCAGTGTAGTCGCAAAATTGGTGCAAGCGGTGAACATGAGCTCCTCACATAGAACTTACCCCGGTTGGTTCGTACGGGCCTTCCCAAGCAATGAGATACTTGTCGCGAGATTCGTCAATAATACTCTTTATAGGATATTCCTGAGAACTATTGACAGATACTTTGTCAGATAGGTCAAACGAGCTCTCCGATCCAGCAGTAGTGGATTCCTGGATGCTGGGTGTAGTTCTAGATTTGCGTGGTGGTTGTGAAGTGGTAGCAGGGACAAGTCGAGACAGCATTATCAGTATGCAAGCATGGGAATGACAAAGACACTATCCATTTTCAACAAACAGGGAAAAACTAAGTAGCAGAATTCCAAACAAGTTGACTCTTATATCATGTAGCACCCAAAATACATACGTTCCATGTCCAGGAGCAAATGGAAATGAGGATGTACTCAAAGGCAATGCTCTGATATTCGGCTGGCTAATTAATGAACTAGTTAGTTTTGAGTAAGAGACTGCTGACAAAGGACTTGCCTGATCCCACGTGATGATTCCCGCCAAGGCTTCCACCACTTGGCGGCTTCACCTCCTCCCTCCTTCCACCTGAGCCAGTCATTGCTTTGGGTTTTATTATTTATAAAAAGAGATTGAAGAAGGAATCTGGTTTTTCTTTTCTTTTCTTCTTCTTTATTTAGAGAATAAGAGAGCAATTGCCAATAGATATAGATTAATTAAATTAAAATAATTGATAATATCAATTCTCTTTAACTTGTGTTTAATTCTTAACATTCTCTTGTCGATTCAATTCTTGAGATTTATGGAGTCATGAAGGCTTTCACTAATCCTCTTGCTTCTAGCTGCAGTGTGTTTCTGGCGCGTTTCGTCGCGTGATTTATGGAAGCTGAATTGTTAGATGCTTGGCTATCACATCAATTCTATATCTATGATATCAATTGCTCCGCCTTCCACGCCTCAAAATCAAAGCCCACTTCTTCTGAGGTTCGACATTGATACCTTTTTTCTCCTTTCATGATGAACGCCATTTTGATTAACTTGACCCGCTCCCGAATCCACTTATGCTTTTCACTCCAGTAAGTACATTCCCTGCCGCGACCTTCATTTTCAAGACCAGGCTTTTGCTCCGCACTGGCAGCCCATGCATGCAACCCATTGACATACTCAGCATCCAAGTTATGCTTCATAATGTGGAAGGCCTTGCCAGGTCCACGGGCAGCTATCTCAGCATCTTCCCACTGGTACATTTCTTGCTTTGAGGGAAGATTGAGGCGTCCGGACCAGACTCGGGCAATAACAGCGCTCTGATTTTCCGCTACTGGAAAAGGGGTGATTTTCTGACCCAAACAGAGGAAAGCCAGAGTAGGATGGTCGGCGTAAAATATTTGCTGGTAAACGTGGAGTGTCCTGTTTCCATCCTCAACCACTGGAGGCTTCAGTGATGAAAGGAATGGGAATGAGTAAAAATATCCCGTGCAGAATAACACAGCATCAACGTCTTCCTCAATCTCCCCATTCTCGAATCGAACAGCCCTGTTATGAGTAGTTGGTGGCAGGAACTCAACAATTTGCGGATACTCAATTTTGCTGCCGTCGTCAGGTCCGACGGCGAAGCTGGAAGCAGATCTTACTGAGACAAGAAGTGGTTTGCGACATGTGGTTCTAATTTGAGCCCCGATGTCAAGTCCCGAGGCGGAGTTGCCAACAACGACAACTTTCTTATCCCGAAACTCGGCAGGCGATGAATATGACTTGGAATGTGTTATTGCGTTTGCATACGCCGCATTCCACTCCGATATCCCGGGGATCGATGGGATATATGGTACGTTATAATGCCCATTCGCTGCCACAACGGCATCGTAGACGTCATCTTCTTTAGATCCCGTTTCCAAATGCTTCCTTGTGACCACCCAAGTCCCTGTATGTGCGTCATCAAGCCTCACATCCACAACTTGGACTTGAAACCGTATCAGGTGCTTGACATCCTCACTGTACTCTTCTATATATCGGAGAACCGTCTCAGATCCAGGGAATAGCTGTGTGTCCGCGGGGAACGGTTTATCTGAGAACCGCATCAAAGTATGAGGGATATTTGTTTCAAGGCCATCGTAGAGCGGGGATATGAATGAGGCTTCCTTTCTGCCTTTTGCCCCCGCTGAGTCCGCGTCTTCTTGTGATCCAACCGACGAATGCCAAATGGGCTCTTCAATAGGTAAGTGGGCGTTGGTTTGTGGGATATCAATCGGAGCACGCTTCTTGTCTGCAGCCGGTGAGTAGTTCCAAACCCCACCAACCCGACTCCGCTGTTCGAAAATGTCAATTTTCTCGAACCATTTTTCGGCCAACAAATATCTACGGAGTCAGTATCCCGCTACGAACGGCAATCTGAGGGGACAGTGATCAAATACATACTTGGCTGCAGCCAACCCTGACGGGCCGGCGCCAATAATTGCTACGCGGCGGATTCGGGGGGAGGAAATGCCTCGCATCGTCTAACATTAAAGAAGCACTAATCCTCAGTTGGCGGGTCAATACAGACGTTGATCGCTTTATATGTGGCCACTGCTCGCATAAATCCCTGGGCTATCTTGTCCAGTGTTTATCAGTAACTACCCCCGTCGGCGTTTCGGCTCTAGGGATATGCGAAACAGTGTATTTGATTTGCGGATGTGTGGATAAAAGCCAGTCAAAGTTTGATCAGATACCCAATCAATCGGCACGCTGACGACATCCACGGTTGAATTACTTTGTTTGGGAAGAGGGCGAAATGAAACGGCTTCTGATGGCAATTTTTCCCCGCAAGTGCCAAATGTGTTCCTCCACGTTTTATAACTATACGAAGCAACCTGGCTGAACAACTGGAATGTGACGTCATATCCCGAGTACCTTTGGGTCACTTCGCTTGTAACCATAATAATTATCGCAGTCTGTGCAAATTCCAGCATTGTCTGTTCCCAGTCTGCAAGCTTGCAATGATGCTTTAATGCAAATGTAACCTTCAGAGGAGACACTGGTTGCATATGATAGATCTCACACAAAATGAGCAGTGGACAAATTTTGCACTTTTTACAATAACATGGAATCAACTAAACATCAATAAAATGGTGAAAAGTGAAGGCTGGAAATGTTTATTGAATATACATTACTCAGAAAGCCCGCGGAATTTTCTGCGGTTGAACTTGAATGCCTCAATCTCCAGAATTTTGCAAATCAAAGTCTCCATTAAGATATAACTTGCAAATGACTACAACACTCTTTGTACAGCAATTGAGGAAATTCACTGATGTTATTGTTGTTGTTGTTATTGTTGTTGTTGTTGTTCTTCTTATTTTTTTCTAAGATCATATGCAGTCTGAAACTATGACAGCCTTCACCTCATTAATCTACTCTTATGTTTGACTACTCTCTAATTACATTTCTCTATTCATAACTGAGTCATCTTTGATGAAGAGACTTCACTATACCATTCTGAATCTAGCCCTTAAAAGGGGCCTTGCCTTACAATTGCTCACACAAAACTAAGCAGTCTCTTATCACTTGAACTAGACATATAAGAAACAGAACATCTTAAAATCCTATACTATACTGAATTCATCTGTGGG